GGCATCAATTCACTTTTTGAAGGTTAATCTTATACCCAGATATGTTTCCAAACTTTTCAAGTAAAAGAAGTAACTCAGGACAGTAAGGACTCGGCCCAAGTTAGCTGTACGTGATTCTGTTACTTTTGGAGTCACGACTCTATACTTTTGAATGGGCTCTAATTGACCCTAACTGCTCCACGCCAAAGCGCGTAGAGATTCGACAGGCATACAACGGCGAAGAGCTCCGCCCCAGCACCGCATTGGACTAAAAACCGCGCTTCTGACGCATTCACAGTGGCTTAAAAAATTCCCAAAATTTCACCAAAATCCATAAATCTACCAACGGCCACAAGGTGGCGAAGTGATGTACATAGAGGTGAACAAGATGTACACTGGGTACGCTTACTACAAGCAGTTAAAATGTATGAACCGTGTACGCTTACTACTACTTTATGCCCATGGTATCTTTAAGAAGTATGGACCGTGTACGCGTACTACCACTTTATGCCCATGTTGTATGAACCTTGTACGCTTACTGCCACTTTATGCCCATGGTGTCTTTAAGAAGTATGAACTGTGTACGCTTTCTACCACTTTATGCCCATGGTGGCTTTAAGAAGTATGGACCGTGTACGCTTACTGCCAATTTATGCCCATGGTGTCCTTAAGAAGTATGGACCGTGTACGCTTACTACCACTTTATGCCCATGGTGTCCTTAAGAATTATGGACCGTGTACGCTAACTGCCACTTTACGCCCATGGTATCTTTAGGAAGTATGAACCGTGTACGCATACTACCWCTTTATGCCCATGTTGTATGGACCGTGTACGCTTACTGCCACTTTATGCCCATGGTGTCCTTAAGAAGTATGGACCATGTACGCTTACTGCGACTTTATGCCCATTGTGTCCTTAAGAAGTATGAACCGTGTGAGCTTATAGCGAGCGTACACACATCTATTAGCCATTTAGGCTTTAGGAGTACTAMGTACAAGAGCTGTTAGCAAGTGTACACATACCACTTAGCCATATAGGCTTTATCACCACCAGCTAGTCTATATACACTGTGTACACGAGCCTGTAGCAAGCGTACACGTACCCCTTAGCCATTTGGGCTCCAGGAGCTCCGCGTACACAGGCCTGTAGCAAGCGTACACGTACCCCTTAGCCGTTTGGGCTCCAGGAGCTCCGCGTACATGGGCCTGTAGCAAGCGTACACGTACCCCTTAGCCGTTTGGGCTCCAGGAGCACCGCGTACACGATCCTGAAGCAAGCGTACACGTACCCCTTAGCCGTTTGGGCTCCAGGAGCACCGCGTACACGAGCCTGTAGCAAGCGTTCACGTACCCCTTAGCCGTTTGGGCGCCAGGAGCACCGCGTACACGAGCCTGTAGCAAGCGTTCACGTAGCCCTTAGCCGTTTGGGCTCCAGGAGCACCGCGTACATGAGCCTGTAGCAAGCGTACATGTACCCCTTAGCCATATGGGCTTTAGGAGTACTACGTACATGAGCTTGTAGCAAGTGTACACGTACCCCTTAGCCATATGGGCTTTAGGAGTACTACGTACACGAGCTTGTAGCAAGCGTACACGTACCCCTTAGCCATATAGGCTTTAGGAGTACTACGTACACGAGCTTGTAGCAAGCGTACACGTACCCCTTAGCCATATAGGCTTTAGGAGTACTACGTACACGAGCTTGTAACAGGCGTACACGTACCCCTTAGCCATATAGGCTTTAGGAGTACTACGTACACG